CTGTGGGCCCCCTGGCTGGCAGGCCGGCAGCTGCCCCCCCCCCCCCCCCCCCGTCTCACTTTCATTCGATAGTCCGTGGAGCGACTGCTCGCAGAGCTGCTGGTGGCCCAGCTCGTGGTCGAGGTCCGCGAAGGGGTCGCCCTCTTAATCGCTGAGGTTGGTTGCCAGCTTCCTGCTCTTACAATGGATCATGTGCGCGTGCTGGCTCACGCCGTGGGCAGCGCGACCTCCTCTCCCGCCCGCTGCCTCCGTGCCGTCGGTGGCGCGGGGGGCCCCGCCATAATCGCGATTCACGTCTGAGAGCGGGATGGCGCCCACCTCGCTCTGCGCATGATTGGCTCGCGCGCCGGGCAAGTGGGGCGCGGGCGCAGCGGGGGCGGGCTGGGTGCTCGAGCCCCTGGCGTTGCAATGGCCCTGGAGCGTCTGTGCCCCCTGCTGCGGCGGGTCCTGCTCTTCGCCGCGGTGGTCGCGCTGGTCTGTCTCAGAGACGCTCAGATCGGTGGCAGGCTTTCTGAGGCTGCTCCCCTTGTGGATCACGTGCGCGCACTGGCTCTCGCCCATTGCGGCTGCGCGATCTCCCCTCCCGCCGGGCTGCTCCGAACCTGCGGAGGCGCGGGAGGTCCCACTAAAATCGCGATTCACTCCTGCTGCCCCGCGGGGCGTAGGTGTAGCCGAGGCGAGCTGGGCGCTCGAGCCTCCTGGCGGCTGCTGTGGCGGTGGGGGCATCGGCCGCCCCCTGGAGCGGGGCCCCACCATGTGGGGGGCGCTCTGGACAGCGCGGGGCTTTCAGGCATGCAGGTGACATGCGCAGGTTGCCGCGCGCATCGTATGCATCGGTCCCGTACCTGCCGACGTCGCTCTCCACCTGCTGGGGGAGGCCCTGCGCCATCTGGCACCTGTCGTCGTCGTCGTCGTCCAGGGCGTGGCATGCGAGGCTAAACTTGCCCGCTCGCGCGAGCCCCTTTCGGCGCCTGGCGATGGCACCTCGTAGGCGCCGCTCTAGGCAGGAACGTAGCTGCTGGAGCCCGGGGTTCACTTTGTGCTCCTGGTACTGGTCGACCAGGCCCTTGACGTTCCACAGCTGCCTTGCCAACCGCGTGGGGGCTATGCCTGGGGTGGTCTTGTTATTGTCCTTAGTGATCCACGCCTCGGGCAGGGGGGCTTCCTTGAACTGGGTGGCCCCCCCCCGCAACTGCATCGTCTCTGGAGTCGCGGCTCGCGATGCCCTGGAAATCTGCCGTGGCCGCGTGGGTCCACTCCGAGTGGGCTTTGTCCAATGTCGCCTAGTCTGGGAGGCCGCGTCCTTGTCCCCCTGGTCCGCCCTCTGCCAGCTGCTGGTCGGTCTCGTCGAGCCTGCGCTGCGCCCCCCACAAGTGGGGGGGCTCCTGGCAGAGGCCCACGGGGGCCGAGGTGGGTAAGTGCGCCGTGGTGAGCAGCATCCGTAGCCTGGGCCACTCGACACGCTGGCGGAACAGCATGTGGACCACGTCGTTGCTCGGCAGCGCGAAGGGCGGCTTGGTGACTGGCCGCCTCCTTGCCAGGCCCGCCCGCCCGCCCGTGATGTAATAGTTCCTGATGTAGCGGGTGCCACTGTTGCCGTGGCAGGTCGGGTCCGGGGGGGCGTGCGCTGGGACGCCTGGCGCACGGGGGACCTCGAAGCTAGCCATGTCCCCCAGGTCCACGCTCATGTCGCCTCCCATGGTCCAGGGCAGATTGTGGCGCGATTGGTGCTTGCGCAGCTTGTAGAGGAGGTCGAGGTTCTGGCCCTTGAACCCCGCCTTCACCTCGAGCTGCACTGGGCGCAGCGCGACCACGCCAACCTCGGGTAGACGAGCGTACGCAACGCGCGCTCTGCCTGGCCACTGGATCTGGCCCTGCTGGTCATACCAGAAGTCGATGTACTTCTTCGCCAGCATAGCCACGCCGCATTGGAAACGTTTGTTATTGATGATGGCTGGGGCGAGTGCTATGGCCCAGCCCTCGTTCCTCAACATGCGCCGTATCTCCAAGGGTGGCCCTCGCGACTGCTTGTGGTCCTGCACGAAGAGGATCTGGCCTTGGGCGAGCTGGGGGATGTCCCGTCCTTTGCCCCAGGATGTCGGATTGGCCGTCGCAAAACTGAGTTGGGTCTACTGCTGCTTGTCCTCAGGCGGGCTGCGTTCAGAGGTCACCTCATCAACGTCCACCGTGTCCTGTTTCAGCTAAACCCGCTGCCTCTTGCGCATCGCCATGCGCTGGCACACGTCCTCGAGGGCTCTCTTGCTATCCTCCGACTTGCATGCCTTGACGATCTTCTCGAAATCGCCGTCGCCGAGGTTCGTGTCTGCTGAGGTAGACATCTGCTCGGCATCCTCCTCGGCCTCCGTGCGGCCCCTCTGGTTGGCCGCAATCCACGAGAGGTGCATGGCGAGGAGATTGGAAACCGTTCCGAACATTTCAGGACCCGGATTGACGGCCTCAGGTGCCATGGCCAGGAAGCGCTGGGCGTCGCGCCCCGTCTCGGCCGACGGCGCTGGAGCGGCAGCCAGCGGCATGGCGCGCAGCATAGCCTGGCTGAGGCCGGCATCCAGCTCCGCGATGGTGGCTGTGGTCTGGGGGATGTCAGCCTCGTGGTCCAGCGCAGCCTTCTCCTTCTCCTTGACCTTCTTCTTGGCCCCCAGCACGTCGGACTGCTTGTCTTTGAGCTCGGCCAGCAGCTGGACTCGCTTCGTTCGGGCATGGTCCAACGTCGCGCCCAGGGAGCTGACTTCGGCCTGAGGTCCTCGATTTGCGACGGGCTGGTGCTTGAGCTTGGACGGGTCTGCCTCGAGCTGGGCCAGGTCGATGCCACCCTTGCGCATCGCGGGGATCGTCTGCTCGAGGCCGGCGACCTTGCTGCCGAGCTCCAGGGCGGCAGGGTCCACCGCGGGCTCGGTGGACTGGGTGGCTCCTTGCTCGATGGCGGGGGTCCCGCGGCCGCGCGGGTGCCTCCGCTGGTGTCCCCGCCCGTGGTGAGCCTCTCCAGCGCCGCCGTGATGTTGGCCATGGCCGCCTCCAGCCGCTGCAGCCTATGGCCATCCGCTCCGCCGCCTCCGCGATGAGCAGGCGGGCGGGACTGCGACTTCGCCCTGGCGGAGGACCCGCGCTTGGCCATGGCCTCCTGGTGCGCCTGCCTGGCCTTGCGCACGAGGGTGTCTGGGGCGTCGCGTCCGCAGAAGCACGCCGCGCGGTTGGCCCAGAGCCCCTCCTGGCGACACCCTGGGCATTTCCAGTGTGGCTCCTTGGGCCCTGGCAGCACCTCCCTGCCTTCAGGCGCACTTGCAGCAGCGCCAGCGGCCCGGGCATGCGGCGGCATGGCCGCGGCGGCCACGGGGCTCTCGATGTGTTCACCGTGGTGGCCTGCCAGCGCGCAGCGAGCGGCCTCCAGGCGCAGGGTGGCCCGCGCGCTGGCCCTCCGCCTCCGCAGCCTGCGATGCCACGCGGGCGAGCGCGAGCGGCTGTGGCGCCGCTGAGCCGTCTGGGTTGCGCCGCCGCCCTGGGCAGGGCAGGCGGCGTTTGGGGGTCTCGCGAAATCGGGCCGCCCCAAAAGCCCGAACGCGAAACGCCTACAGGGGCAGGCGGAACCACAGGAATTTAGGAGGAGGATGAGGATGATGAGGGATGAGGAAGGAGGAGAGGTGGAAGGAGAGAAGAGGGGGGACAGCGGGAAAATGGAGGAAGCGGGGAGAGAGGGGAAGAGAAAGGAGTGTGTGTGTGTGTGTGTGTGTGTGTATGCGTGCGTGCGTGCGTGCGTGCGTGCGTGCGTGTGTGTGTGTGTGTGTGTGGCGTGGCGTGGCGTGGCGTGGCGTGGCGTGGCGTGGTGTGGTGTGGTGTGGTGTGGTGTGGTGTGGTGTGGTGTGGTGTGGTGTGGTGTGGTGTGGTGTGGTGTGGTGTGGTGTGGTGTTGTGTGTGTGGGGGGAAGCAAGGCAGGAAGGAGGAGGCAGTTGGGAAAAGGAGAGGGATCAGGGGGCAGGTAAACTATCATGGGAAATGGCTGGATCAGGATCCAACCATTTTGGGGTAAGGGTTCGTGGACTGATTCAAAGTCCAGAGAGGGCTGGATTAGAGTTCAGTCCCTGCGGCATGTGCATATGGCTTTTGGACTGGATCGGCGTCTGGCTCAAACGCCATCTGTGCTCTGGAAGGGACTCTGCGAGGGCGTCTCGGGGTCCCCTTAAGGCAGGCATCCTGGAAGGCCCCCAAGAGGGAGGCAGCGTTTCAGGGAGGGCCTCTGGGCACTGCCTTCACGAGTGTCCCCGGGAGTGATTTTTTTGGGGGGGAGCCTCTGAGAGGTCCTCTGCGCTTCGGAGCGCTGCTCGGAGCTCGCTCAAGACGATGCGATGTGCTGCGGTCAGGAGCTCCCCTATGCGACTGGAAAGAATTCTCTGAGGCGGCCCTGAGGAGCTCTACGGGGGGCTTCTCGGCTCCCCTTGGGCGCTTCTCGTGGTCTCTTGGGGGTCTCTTGGGAACCTCTTGAATCGTCTTGGGAACTTCTCGAGGCGTTTCGGGGGCCTCACGTGCTGCCTTATGTCGAGATCAGGCCACCCTTGTTCACGACGGTCAGTATGGTGCTTTGGGGCGCCCACGGCGCCGCCTTCAGCCTTACTCTGGTCTCCCGGGGCTATGGTGCCTGTATCACTTTTTCCGCTTCCTCTACCTTCAGTTGGTGTGCCTCTTTGTGCTCTCAAAGCCAGCGACAGCGGGCTCAAAGCTCAGTTCCGGACGTCTCCGCTCGCTCTTTGCCATGGGAACGACGCTGAGTCGCGACAAACCATGTCCAAGAGCCCTCGACCCTTTTCTGCGGCACTTTCGAGTGAGATGTTCTGTGAGGGTCTCGAGGCAAAACCACTCGCGTTTTTTGTTTCTGCATCTCTATATATGTCACGTTCTGTCTGTTGTAATAGACGTTCAAGTCAGTTTTTATGGCATGTGTCTTCTTCCTTTCCAGCTCGGCTTTGTGGACCCTGGCGCCGCGCAGGCGCGATGACCGCCGCTTCATTCTCGGACCTTCACACGGCATCCACGACAGCGAGCTCCAGCATGCTCCAAGGCACCTCGCCATCGGGTCGACGAATCCTTAATCTGTGATATCCAGCTGCCTTCGGCAATTCCGCCACCGTGCCAGCGCAGCATTTTGGTATTCTGGGTGGCAACCACTCGAGAAGGCAAGGGGGCCTGTTGTGGACCTCTTGGGGCAGAATGCTAGAGTTCTATATTCGTGTTCTCACTTTGGGGCCCTCCTTGGGGCCGTCTTGGGGCCCTCTTGGGCAGCCGTGGGCGCCTCTTGGGCCGTCTGGGAGCCCGTCTTGGAGTTCTCCTGGGGGCCTCTTGAGCATTCGGGGGCGCCGTCTTGGAGCCCTCTGGGGGGCCTCTTGGGCCTTCTTGGGACCGTCCTGGGGACGTCGGATCGAAAAGGCGAGAACCCGAAACACCTGGAACCACATGAGGAAACTCTGTAATTCGTGCCTCTCGAGGCTCTCTCGGGAAGGCTCCTGTTGCTCTCAAGGGACGAATACGCGGCCTCGTGGGCCGTTTTGAAGCCATCTTGGGCTGTCTTGAGGCCAACGTGACCCGTGTTGGAGCGATATTGGGCCGTCTCGGAGGCATCTGGGCGTCGGGAGCGCGAGTCTGTCCAGGGATGCATGGCCTCGCCAAGTGGTGGGGATGCACGCAGGTAGGTAGTTCGAGAGGGGGGGGTAGAGAATTACAGAAGCCTGTCAGACAGCACATGGCATGCTACCACGCCTCAACGTGCACACGGCACGGTGGCGGAATCCTGCTTCTCCTCCCCCTCCTCCCTCCCTCTTCCTCCCGGTCCTCCTCATTCTCCTCCTCCTTCTCCTCCTCTCCTCCTCCTCCTCCTCCTCCTCCTCCTCCTCCTCCTCCTCCTCCTCCTAGTCGCCTTTCGGTTCGCAGGAATTGCGGTCCGACCAGTAGTGGTGCCGGAGATGCGCACTCGCGACATGGGCCCCCTTCGTCACCTAAAACAAGCAAGGGGGCGACGGATCCCAATGTTCCCACTTCGGTATTAAGTCCTTCGACTTTCTTGCGTTATTCGGCAGTTGTTTTGCTACTACAACCAGCATGCCTCCCCGAGCCACGACCAACTCGAGGATATCAATTGTGAGTGAAAAAGGTAGGACTTCGTTATCCCGAGTGGCACTCGCAAGTGGAGCTTCAACGAACCCCGCGTGACTACACTTCTCCCACGCCCCTGGTAAATTCAGGTAATTCGGAGGCAAGATGTGACGATGAATTATGGAGTCTTTCGGGGTAGTTATCCCAGCGGGTTTTGCTGCCCCCACGCACCTCTTTCAGAGCGATCTACCCGCTACCGTCAGCTGGTCAAAGCGGGGCAGCAGTCTTCCGCCTTCAGACTCCCAGGATCGACTACGTTTTTTTTGTCTACTGCTCCGAGCCGCCTCAACAGATACCTTGAAGTTGGCAAGCGACAACCGCTGGAGGATGATGTCAGCAGCGACTTGAGGCTACAACGGGGGGGTCGATGGAGGAGTGGCCCAGTGGGGGACAGGTTATCGGAGGCATCGATCCGAAGCTAGAACATGACAACGTGACGGTCGTGCGAAATATGCGAAGGCCACCAGCTGAGCGTGACCACCACGTGTTACAGTGTAGGATCCACCGTCTGCGGACCGACGGGCCGCACAAGTAGAGTGAACCATATTGTGGTCCCGTACATCGCCACAGGTCTGGTGAAGTTTTGTCGCACCCTCTCCCTTTCGGCCCGAGAGTTCCGAGACCGCGTCCCGATCGGTATCGAACTCTCGGTCGACCTCTCCTCCCGCCTTCCCGTCGCCCGCAGAGCTTTCCGCTCCAGACGCTCCATGGTCGACCGCGACTTGCTGGTGCATTGTCTGCGGGAGGGCCAGTGACGAGGGAGTTCTACTCTGGACAGGGTGGGCGAGGACATGCAGAAGGTGACGACGGAGGAGGGGACTGAAGCGAGGGGCAGACCGACCCCAGAGGCATACGGGAAGATATTCGGGGATGGGTCTCGACATTCGTTGCATGAAGTGTTCGTCGAATGGCACGGACAAGACCGACCTCGATGAAGCGACTAGCCGCGTGCGAGCCCTCCGACTTGAGCTTCGTAAGGAGAGACGGGAGCTGCGAATGCAGCTCAGCGATCAGTCCTTCCAGGAACAACATGGCGAGGTTATCGACCTCCTCGCACATGCCAAATCCCTGCTAATCCCTGCCACTCCCTGTGACATCGGCCCCCTTTTTTCATATGGCCTCCGCAAGGGCCGCAGAGCTCTTCCTATCAGTTGATCGGCTCGGTCTCCTACTCGTTTTCCTGCTCCGTTTCCTCCTCCTCCTCCTCCTGGCTGGTCTGACTCACCCGCGCAGCCGCAGGGCGCTCTGTCCGACGGCACATCTCGATGCGGCGCTGGTGGCTGCGGCACCCACCTGCGCTGCGACGCCGCCAGCGTGGAACCTGCCCGTCCTCGGCGCGTTCGACAAGGGAGGCCTGGGCGGCCGCCTACCCTCGGCGCGCTTGGCAAGGGCGGCTGCTGGGTGTCCTCTGCCCGCTCCTCCGTGGCGGAGGCTTGCGGGTGCTCCCCGTGGCCTTCAATCCGCCGTCTCACTTGCGAAGCGGCGGCGCTCGGGGCAGTGCGGCAGGGCATCCGCGCGGCTTCTGCCGCCTCGAGGGACTGTTCGGGCGCTTGATGCCGCCCTCGGCGCTCGCCCTGCACCTGGCCTGGCCTGGCGCGGGCGGGCGGCGGCGCGGGTCCGCCTCAAGGTCGGCACCACGGAGTCCGGAGGCAGCCGCCTGGGAGCAGGGTGGGGGGACAGTACGGCTGCATCCAGTCTCGGTGTGGAAACACCGTGATCACTTTAAGATGGACCCCTGTGGCGCCGAGACTGGGTGCAGCAGCTGGGCCTCTCATGGGCAGTCAGGCCCTCGGAGTAGTTTGCAGCCTCCGCCTGTCTCCCGTCGTTGTCGGCGTTTCTTCTTTCCCCCCTGTCTTTTGACCCGCGCTGTGGTTCGCAAAACTGTCCAAAACGGTCCTCCTCTTCCCCCTCCTCCTCCTCCTCCTCCTCCTCCTCCTCCTCCTGCTCCTCCATCCTCTCTGCCGCTCCCAGTTTCCTGGAGGCCCCCTTGGTGATGCCCGAGGACCTCCACCAGGCGATGCCCGCTCATACTTTGGAATGTTTGTCTCGGAGTCTTGGGATACAGTACTCGATCTGGTCTAGAGCGATGGAGCTCCGTGGTCTGTCTCGTGCATGTGCCATTGTCACCGACACGCACCGTTACTTAGGCAGGGGTTGTATGCTGAAGCGTAAGGACTCGTCCCTGATGACCCGCAACGTGCAGGCGCAGAGTTTCAAGAACCCTGACTTGTCCTATTGGTCTCTTGTTTCCAGTCGCCTGTATGAGTTGATGAAGTTGACACGAAAAGCTCCGTATTCTCAGGCCGCGATGCAGCACAGGCGCGTCTTGGCTGATTTGGCGTGCCACATTTTTTCTCACATCGAGCCTCTTGCGAGTTCTCAGGCAGCTGTGTCGTGGAAGGATTGCTTGAACCAACCACCCTACGTGTGTCATAGATTGGAAGAACTCGTTGAGGCTGCAGGTGTTGTGTGTACTCGTGCATGGTCTCTCGCACATGCCAAGGCCAGGGGCAGCATGCGCACTTGGTTGCAGTCATCCCTACCCAGAGGTGCTAGCCCCGTCCATCGCTATTTAAAAGCTGAAGAAAGAGTTTGCGTTGAGTATTTCTTGACTCCTGAGGGTATCGTGGACACCCCTACCTCGATGATGAGTTTTCGGGAACGGAAGTGGAGTAAATGGTGGACCCCAAACTCTGAACAGCGTGTGTGTCTGGAGGCAGGCCTTCGTGAGCTTCGTTCGCAAGCATTGGTCGTTCTGCATGATTTGGACCCGCTTGAAGTGCATGACATTGCCAAGGCCTGTACATGTTTCAAGCCACACACGTCGCTAGGCGTCGACATGCTGGCGCCACGCAGTTTGCTCTCTGCTCCCGTCGACTCCCTCGAAGTGTTCACAGGTATCATGCGTCAAGTTGAGCAAACTTTGAGCTTTCCTCCTCAGTGCTATGTCTGCCTCATGGCCATGCTGCCTAAGTCGATTTGTGATGAGCGTGCCATTGTCAAGTGCCCCAGTCTTTACAGAATCTACTGCAAAGCCCGCGGCTTTGATATTGATGATTGGAATAAAGAGCATCTGGATTTCTGGGACTCTGCTGTCAAAGGGTCCTCTGCTCTTAAGGCTGCTTTATTTCGTGAACTGGCCCATGAAGTGGCCCGTGCATGTGGGTTCGAATCTTGTGCGCTCCATTGGGACCTCGAGAAATTCTTCGACTCCGTGAGCCCCTGCAAGCTCCTCCACTTTGCCACCAACCGTGGGTACCCTGGGCACCTCCTGTATTTGGGGCTCCTCATCCACACTGCTCCGAGGCTGTTGGAGGTTTCTGGCAACCTATCTCGGGTTATTGAGGCTGGGGAGTCTATCCTGGCGGGATGTAGTCAGAGTATGCCTTGGGTGAAGTGCTACTTGTACGGGGTACTGGAGAAGGCCCATAGTAGGGTTCCACAGGGCCTTGGTGATCTCCCACAGGTCCGCGTTCCCATTAGGTCTTATGTTGACGACATCACCCAGTACTTGCAGGGTACTCGAGAGTTTATTCGTCGTTATTTGCCGCCTGCGGCGGCGGCTTTCCAGCATGATATATCAGGTCTTGGCTGTGTGGTCAGCCCGAAGTCTCTTGCAGTTGCCTCGTCTGTGGAGTTGCAGCGACTCCTTCAAGAAGAGTTTAAGAAGCATGGAGTTTCCATCACTTTCTCGCCCAGTGTGAAAGACCTGGGCACAGTCACCTCAGCTGGCCGAAGGCGCACTGCTTGGAAAACATATGAGAGACGTGCTATCGCATTCCGACGTGGTCGTAAGCTGTCCTACCTTGCAAGGTTGTGTGGAGCTTCGCGTAAGGTCTTCAAGCCTGGCATCCTCTCAGTGGGCTCTTGGGGGCATGCTATGTCAGGACTTCCACCTGGAATATTGAAGCAGTTT